TTCATACTTTTTCTGCTGAAGTAACAGCTGGGCTGTATAAATGTTTGATTTCTAACTCATTATCTTGCAAACCAGTGCCCCAAAGAAAATGTGCTCCTTTTTTATCAAGCTAAACAAGAATTGAGAGAACATTCACTTTGAGAGTGCAGTTACTCAAAACCTGTGTTGGCTCTGCTTAGCAACAAACTAATGAAAAGCCTTGAAGAAGCATTATGGTTTCTCTCTGCAGTACATTTTCAGTGTTATGTCTTCCTCTTACTCAGACAAAAAGGGCTCTTGCATATTCCATTTCATGGGCAAATTTGATTTTAAACAAAATTAGTGTCACTCGCATTCTCACAACCATGCATTCATATGCTTGTATCCAGGTAGTCTGACCAGGATTCACTGAGGTGACATAGAGGACATAGGAAAATACCTATCATGTCCTCACCATATTTCTTGGGTTAGAAGTCAGGTTAAAGGGGCATGAGTACAGCTGCAATTCATTTACTCACATACCCATTACTTGCACCATCTGTTTGAATTCATGTTTTCATTTCAAACACTTCTGTTTGAATTCATGTTTTATGAAAACCTGTTGAACACCCCTGAATTAAGCTTTGAATCTAGAAAATAAGAGTTAGGAAGACCTTCTAGCTAGTTCACTTCAGTTTACAGGTGTTGGTATCTTGATTTCTCCATGCTTGCAGCCGGTAAAAGTCACACGCCAGAAAAAAGCAAGAATTTGGTGGTCAGAAGTAAAATTTTAGCCCTTAGAGGAAGAGGCTTGGGACCTTCAGGAGACACTTTCCAAGGCTATTTAAAGCTCTGTCTGTCAGCAACAGCTTATGTAGGTCATTTATGAAATCAGGTTGGGAATGTAAGAGAATGTGTATCCTACTGAATAGTATTTTGAGTCAACTCCTCAGTCATTTTCTCCTGATAGTCATTTCTAAAGGTTTAATGAAATTAAATGTTCTGGTCCAGGTAACCTTTCTAAGAATTCATATCCTGTTATTACAACAGCCTTTATTTCAAAATTTCCAAATTTCATTCCTATATACAAAAGAGGTATTTCTAATACAACAGTAAACAGAAAACCAATTTCCTCAAATTATAGGAAAGGATACATTCAAACAGAGATTATTATTGCTATTAGAAATGCCCTTCATAACTGAGAAATGAGAGTAGCACCTGAAAAGTCACCAAACGTGCATGGTGAGGTTGTTCAGATAGAAGCAGGAAAGCAGAAAACAGGTTTTATGGATGAGATGGAACCATCTACTCAGTGGACCCAGAAATAGGCATTTCTTGCAGACAGATTTAGTATTTTAAAAGGAATGTCACAGAAGGGCTTCAGGTGCTCACTAGAATAGCTGAGTGTCTCAGCAGTAAGAACGAGACAGCCATACTCCTAGAAGAAGCCAAAACAAAGATCTAGAGACTGTTTTAATACAAACAAGACAAATTGTTAATGATCAGCTAGAAAAAGAACCAAGATTTGGGCAGGTTATGTCATAACTGGGTTACAACAGTTTCACTTATCCTTCTTCTTGGAGTTAGTTTACTAGCTGATGTTAGTCAATCTGTCTACCTAGCTCTTGGTTTGCTCACTGGCTCAACAAAAGCTAAGGTGACGTATTAACTGCTAGTTCCACTAAAAAGCAATAGAGGCAGCACAGATTTCCTCACTTCTCAGGACATTTCTATCACTGTTGTTGGCCCAGTCTTCCTTCTAGAATTTGTCTTTTCCTCTGGTCACTCTGAGAAGTCCCCAGGCAAAACCCTGCCTAGATATCCCCAAAACACCCAGTGTATTGTACCTACTAGCCAATATTAATGCCAGTTGTTCAGCATCTGCATTTCCCACCAGTCACTTGATGCATTTTGGAATTAGTCACTCATATTTGCTTATGCAATCTGTCTTTTAACTAGCAGCAAATGTAACACTGAACTGTAGTTAATTAAGCAAGCCCAGCAAAGGAAAGCACGTCGGTAACTTAAATCACAATTACTCAGTTTATAGCTGTGTCGGTTGATTCGGAGAAAACTCCTGGAACAAATCTCACCAACAAAGTTTTCAAGCTGACAAGCAGGTATTTTTTATCGCAGCCCTGGGAGACACGGGGGATAGCTCCTCCTAACGTGTATCCCCGTATTGCTGTACACGCCATCCTTATATGGTCACTGGGCATACATACATATTCATGAGGCTACACATGAATTACATCATTTTCCAGAAATTTTCCGGCATGCACACAAAAATGTGATGGTGGGCTTTGAGGGTCGTTTACTTCTCCCAACAATCTTCATAAGTTCTGCCAGTCTTTGAAGCACCAGCTTAATTAACGTTACAGACATAGCAATCATCCTGTCCTTCTACTTATCAGTTAGTTTAACTACTTCCATCCTGGACATCTGCTAGTTTCAGATACTTCCCATCCCCAGGTCCTGTTTTTCTATTCTGTTTTTCTTACACTTTTTGTACTAAGGTCCTAAGGACCTAAAACTATGTCAACTACCTTCAAGCACTTCAGTTATTTTCCATTACAAAGCCATCAAACTTAACATTACTTAGAACTGATTGCATTTTGTGCTTTTGTGCCTCCTTGTCTCACGGTATATCCGTGCAAGAAGTGGGTTCATTCTGCGCTCTGTTGCCGGTGAGGCACTGCGATTCCTTAATTGCCTCACAGACGCAGACAGCAAGCGCTCGCGCTCCAAATGCTACCGGCATCATTAGTTTCTTTCACACTTCATTTCTCTATGCCAGGGATTCAGAGTTTTCACAATCTGCACATCCTCCTTTTAGGACATCACAGATCTCTTCTGCAGACCTTTGAGGGACTAACGAGCAAGATGGTTCTAGTTTATTAATTAGCTGCTTATCAGCCGTACTCAAGAGCTCCCTCCCAGTTCAGCTGCTCAGCTACAGTAATTAGGCAATCCACTTTTCAGTCTTTCATAGCATTGCCTTAGACAGAAAGTTTCACTGTTCCTGAGACTCTGGTGCTTTTTGCCAATATAAGACATCCCCTGAATGACTAATAGAGAAACCCTGATTTCTGTATTATTCATTGCAGCATTACCGCTCCCCATTCTAAGTTTTATCTCATGCACTCTGCCATCAGTATGTGCCACCAGTAGCACCCTAGCCTCCAGATGTTATCTGAAAGCTTCTTTATTTGTATCATTCAGAGAGTCAAAAAGCATGTCTTCATGCTCTCTCTGATTCCGAGTGCAAGTAAAGAAGATAGCATTACTTTTTATGCTGCAATCCTTCTCAAACAGGAACAAAAGCAAGCCAACAAACATATGCTGTCTCTGCTTCATGCAATGAAAGGCTTGCTTGTATGTCTGAACTCCTGATTTTTATTATTGGTATTATTTTTATACCAAAAGTTCATGTACTCAGATTTCATTAGTTAATTATCTGACATGCAGAAAGTTAATAAAGTATGAAAATTGAACAGTCAACCATAATTAATACTGTGCAGTGAGTACAACTGGAAGGGAAAAAACAGTCTCTTAGATCAGGCTTAGTTAGATACTTCATGTTCTAAAATATTTCCTTGAAACACCCAACTTTGTCCATGGCAAATGGCTCTCCAGGTCCCACAGCAATTTTAGTGCTTGTTATCTTGTCTGCCAATTACATTGAAGAGCCTTTCTCTTAGGCCAGGCTGTGGCTCCTTTCATTATTACACAAGCAAGTGCACAGGCTGAAGAGGACATGCTGTTTCTAAGCAGAGCCAAAACTTCACCTTGGCATTTGAAAGCAGTCAACCAAAATAGTTTTTCTTTTCCAAAAGGCAATAAGAAGCAATGCCAGTGCCTGACAGACTGTTACATGCCGTATGTGCTGTGCACACGCTGGTGCGTAAGCTCACACCAAAGCATGCCTGTAGTATGTATATGTATAGACACAGCTGACCAGATCTTGAGGCCCTGCTGCCTGTCTCCAACCATGCCCCCAGGGCTGTTGGTCTTGAGGAGCCTGAGATGTGCACTCACAGATGTCCTTTGTCTTATCTGGATGTCTGGATGTGACTAAGGTCCACTACAGGAACACTTATCCCTGTAGACAGCCATGGTCTGCAACAGTCACTGCCATTGTACCCCAGACATAAAACAGCCTGACTCTGTGAGACAGGGTGACTTCTTTATTCTTCTGAAACAAATGCTAGAGTAAAGCTCGCAGAAGTATATGATTATTATATCCTTCCTAGTAGAGGAGAACAAAAAAGCCCCTATGTATCTATCACTGCAAGAGAATCAGAGCTGTTTGTTCAAGGGGAGTTGAAGCACTTTAACATCATTTAGGTTTTCTGACATGAAATGCAGAATTGCCCCTCATCTTGCCTCATTCACAGAAACAATGCATGCAAACAGAATGCCTGGTGGCTGGTTCAGACTTATGACCTTACCAGCAGCCAACCCTCAGACCTCACAGCCTCTCCAGTCACTGGCTTCTACCACTTGGTCCCTCAAGTAGCGAAATCTTAGATGTTCTGTTCTCTCCAGTATCTTAGATTTATGGCCACTTGTCCCTTGGCTCCCACACTTTAGCCTAGCTGTCGGCTAGCCTGTCTTGATATTTACAGTGATTACACACTGATGTACGTACCCAGGTAATATGCTCTCCAGTCTCTCAATTGCTGGCACCCTAAACCCTCAGCTCTTGTCATCTGTGTTCCAACTACAGCTGCTGGCAGGTAGACCCCCATGCATACACACACACACATACACACAGAGAAAGCCCTGCACCCAGGAAAAGTTAGAAAAGGAGTTCAATATGAAGACAGGACAGACTGTGCTGATCAGGCACAGGGTATTGTCATCTGTGACCAGCCCCTCTTTACATGTAACCAGCCCCTTTATCCCCTTATCCCTCTCTTTTATCGCTTATTCTTCCCCTAAACACCTTGATCCCCTTTTCCACATTTGGTTCTTTCCCTAAAGATTCCATACTAAACCTTTGTACAATCTTCACTGCATTCCATGAGGAGTCCTATACATCCAGGCTGTATCCATCCTCAGTCTGCAAGGTTCTCCAGAAAGGCTCTCCAATTGACTTGTGGTGCTGGGTCTCACTCCCAGTCCATGGAGCTAACACTCTCCTGGCATGACCTGGGAGGGGCTGGATTGGGGACTTATTCCTCTGACTGGTTTGCTAGTGTTCTCCCAGCTGCATCTTCCTCTGGGCTCCTCAGTGTGTACTGAGGTGAGCCTTTAACCAGCTAACCCAACAGAGTGTTCACCAGCTTTAGATATTGCATGATGCTGCTGCTAGTACTTTAGTTCCAGTACTTTACTCCTGTAGTTTCAAAAGACTTTTATGCTTAATGCATATGTAAATGCTTTCTTTAGAAAATGGTTTATAGATCTTATGGAGTATTTCAGACTGTTGATGGGCTTTTAAGCTGCAAACACAAGTTTTGTCTTGGGTTCTGAGCAGTTTATCCGTTTGATTAGACAGCCGTGAACATGAAGTTTGGGTTCTTTTCATTGCAAACTTAAGAGGGAAAATGAACAGCGAGCATCAGCTCTCCACAGCAAGAGCTTCCACAATTCAGTGGAGTAAGGTTTTACAGGTATTTAGGTCAGAAATAGTGCCAGAGCCTGCCAAATATCTGCTCAAAATATTTTATATGAATTAAACTGTTTCACAAGAAACCAGTGACTTCACTTGTCTTCACTTCTTAGTTTGGTAGAGTGATGGATACCTATGAGATTATTCTGCTTTTTGGTTTTCTGGGGTTGTTTTTGAGCATGAGGAAAAGATGGTTGCACAGACTGCTCTCTTAAAAAATCTTTTAAATGAGATACCTATAGACAGGTTCCTTCACCATATTATACTTTCTATCACCTACAGTAAATACCAGCTCCTTTACATTCTTCAGCTACACTCAAGATGCTGTGCAGTGGTTTTAGATGAACAGGTAACAAGACAGACATAAAGCTTTAGTGAATATTAAGCAAATGCTGTGGGAAGTCTTATTACACAGTGAAGGCAAATCTGCTGTTTAGGCAGGCAGAATCTTGGAACAAATCAGTGTACTGAGGCTGGCCTAAAGCCATGCAGGCTTCAAGCACGTGTAAATAGATAAACCTGAGTCCTCCCAAGGGAAAATTATTTTGCATGCCTGCTGGCACACACTTTTTGCTCAAAAGCTGTCTCTCAAGCCAGGTGAGTTTTCAGATCATGTAGCCACTCACTTTCAGGGACTTTACATAGACATACACACCATTGCATTGAATAACCACCCTGTAAATCTCAGAACCTGAGGTGAGGTTGTTCAAAGCCTGTGTGTCTTATTCCACACCTGACTATTCAGGGGCAGAGTCAACAGTCCTCAAAGTCCAAGCGCTCGTGGTTAACTGAGATTTTCTGCTTAGATTTTTCTGCCTTTTTCCTTCTCAAGAAGGACTCAGTGGGAAGCTCCTCAAGTGTTACATGTTTCAACCTCTGCCCTAGCATTTGCAAAACAAAAATTAATGGATAATTTCTCAGCATGGCTCACCAATTATTTAATACAGTGATAGTCATTTTTCTCTGTAGCATTCTAACCACAATAATGCAATACAATGAGCAGATGACTTTATTTTTCAGCATTGCCTGTTTGTAGTTCTGTTTACACATGGCTGTGAACCTCACACTTTGGATACTAGTTCTCCTATACTGTCACTGTTCTCTGATGCTTCTGGTGTGTCCTTCTGCTGAAATGCTTCCCTGAATGGCAAAATAAAATCTGCTTGTCCAAGGGACAGGCTAGGAAATGTGGCATCAATATACTTTTGAAAGGTTTGTCTTGTTGCTTGTATTTCATTTTCCAGGATGTCCTTCCATTCTGTCACCTTTTCTAGTTCTTGTGTGAGAGTCTTTATCTGTTCTTCTGCTGCTTTCAGCATAACTGTAACTTTTTCCAGCTCACCAACCTGTAAAGTCTCTGCTTTTTCAGGCTGTTTTTCAGTCTCAGTCTCACTCTCTTTTTGTATGATACTCCGGACAATATGAATCTCACGATCTTTTTCTTTTTTTAATTGCTCTATACTCCTATGATATTGCTCCTCAGCTAACCTAATTTCTTCTTTAAGTTGTTCTGAGCACATTCTGTTTAAAAAAGAAAACGACAAAAAGATTTGTTGGGAACACATGTTACTAAAGATTATTGAAAAAAACGATTTAAGTCTATTTAGGTTGTTGTAAAAACTCTCTTATTCAACTATAAATAAATGCGAAATCAGAACTTGATACAGGACATCTGAAATAAAATAGAGTAAAAGAAGTCTACTGATAATGCAGAGAAAGGAAGCTGCAGAAGATTCTATTTCTGTGTTTCTATATTCTGTCACAACTAGCAATAATTTCATGATGAAATGAAAAATATAAAGGATCAGTATTTCACTCTTCATTCAGGTCTCTGAGTGAGAGAGACACTTGAATTCTTTCTTTAAGAGAATTAAGTACACACTGATTTTCAAATAGACTTTGACAATTCTGCCCCCAGGTTAAAATGCTGCCTTGAAGTCAAATCTAACAACTGATTTCTAGACTACAGACTCATCCATAATTTTGTTTAAATGTTACTGAGAACATATTTGTGCCAGCATGTCAGTAATAAATATAATTTATATTATGTAGTCAAAACATTATGGGTGCTGTTCACCAGAGCTGGCTCAGGGATACAGAAAAAATGGTGCATCAGGCATCCATAAAGGTTACTGAGCCAAATACTTTGATGTAGAGAAAACAATTTCTGCCCTCTGTTCGTGCTCCCTCCACTTTGCTGGAGATATTTTAGCAGAACTCTGCTAACATGAGAAGTTAAAGGGACCAGTTAAATTTATGTGGAATGTCATTTATCTTTGGCAGAAGGGGCATGTTTTAATAGTGGAAACAAAGGTATTAAATAATGGATCAAAACTTAAGTATGACTGTTCAGAAAATGAAAAATATCTTACAAAGGAACACACCTGAACTGATCTTTTCATTGTGATAGTGATATTTTGCTGTCTATGTTGTCAAAAAATTAAATGTATTCTACTCTCAAGGGAGAGGGGTGTGCTATTATTTTTACATCAAAGCTATTTAATTCACAATGTTTAATCTATACAGGTAGAATCTCCTGTGCCCTGCAGATCTCAGTTTTGCTCAGATGTCATCAATGGCACAATAGGCCCTGAGATCTTTACTTCTAATGACTCTAAATCAGCTACAAAACTCAAAATGTTTGGATCCTTGGCTGGCTTTGTGATACTTGCTTTTAGAAACAAAATATGTTTCATTTTTATTTGGTGCATCAGTGAGAGAGGGTGAGCCTGCAATTCTTGCTGGTCACTTGTCATTTCCAAATATGTTGTTTTCTGAAGGGTGTATTGATCTTTTCCTAGAAGACCTGCATCTGAGCAATGCTGATGCAATTCCAATCATTTAGAACAGCATTTTTGCCACCCAAGTCAGAGGAAACACTAAGAGCACCTGCGCAGAGTGGCTGCTTCCTGAAAGGCTGCCTCCCTCTCCTGTTTTCTGGCTTTGGCCACAGCTCGTGTCTTGTCCTGGGCACACTCTATGAGGATCCTCTGAAGTCTGTGAGCCATGCGTTGCTCTGCAGCTTCTGCCTCTCTCTTCTGCTGTTCTTCCATGTACCGCTGCATTTCTGCCTTTGCCTTCATCACCTCTTCCTTAAGCAAAGTTAAAAGTAGATGTAAGTAGTGACAACAGCTTTTTGCTCAGTTGTCTTTAAACAATCCCCAGCGACGCCCAGCAGAACAGACTTAAGAAACATATTATGGGGCAATTACAGTGACCTATTGTAACATCATTCCACATCTACATCACCCATGTTTTCTACATAAGGCAGATAAAAGTTCCCTGATGTATTTTCTTCACAGACTCACATGCCTACAGGAAGCCTGACTAAAACCGTTTGACCATGAATGGTGGTGGCCATATCAGTACTGCTGCAAAAAAAGCCATTCCCGAGGCTATCAGCTAAAAGCAATTGTCTTTGACCTTCCCTACAGGTAAAAACCCCACTTCAGTCACTCAGTGATATGCTTTGTTAGCTGCCACTATCTCTTTGCTTAGACAGGAGTTGAGTAAATTTTCTGCCATTGTCTCTGCAAGCTAACTGCTAGTGAGCATTTAGCTCACTGTTAACATACCTCTTAAAATGAACTACAAGAAACAAACCCCACCAAATCTCAAACGTCTCACAATTACTTTAGTTATATCTGCCTCTTCTTGTGTTTCAGCTGTAGTACTCTATATCTGCTCCCTTGTCCTCAGTCACTGGAGCCCATATTGCCAGGACAACGTTCAAATCCTGAGCACTCAGATCTATGAAGATCTGTAATAGACTGTAGTAATAGTCTAACACAAATAGTCTAAAAAGATGTATAATAGCAAGTAACTGAATGGTTAATCACAAGGAACTAAGCTTCTGGCAACTATTGTTGCCAGATGCTTTGACAGCAAAAGACAGAGCTCCCTTGGAAAACAACTCCATAAAATGGAATGAACTCTAACAGAAACTTAAGACCACTGTAAACCTCCCTGCTTTTCCTCTTAAGATGCCAAACACATTGCTTTGACTGCCTGCAGTATAAACTGATAGCTATTTAGAAACTTGTACAAAATAAAATTCCAAAGCAAAACACTCCAGCAATTCTCTGTGCGCCTTTCATCTGCCGGTGGGAGGCTGCAAGACTAAGGATGACAAGCGTTAGACTGACTGTGTAATGCCTGACTGAGGAGCACTCGGATGCTCTAGCAGCAAAAAGCCCTGTGAAGCAGCGCAGAAAGCCGGAAGGCTAAGATCCAGAAGGCAGTTGCCTACCTTTCTCTGTATATCTCTGAGCCTTTTCTCAGGTATCCAAAAAGCCATATGAAACATGTGCTAAACATATATAAAAATTCAAGCCTACAGTTAGCGTGCTTCATTTAGGAATATACATATGCTGGCAGTTTTCCTTCCCCTCCACTCCATTCAGTAGGCTCAGCAAATCAATTAAACACCTTTGTAGCTTTGATGGACATGAAACTTGAGGACAGATTTGAAGTTAAGCCCATATTTAACTGCCTCTAAGAAACGTACCAGATCAGCTCAGGGGCTGGCTGAATCAAGGCCTGACAAGGAATTTTCAACAAAGTTCACAATCTTCATTCAATTTAAAAAAAAAAAATAGAGTGAAACGTGCTGAAATTTAATTCAAAATCCAGTTAACTCAAGCTCACATCTCATCTAGCACAAAGGCAGTCATCTGTCAGTCCAAGTACTTCTCCTGACACTGGAGTTCAATCTCAGATGAATGGAGTTTCTGGTTATAGCAAACATTTAAAAAGATATGTATTTATTTTACACAGAATGACATTCTTGATTGTCAAACACATGCTTCTGTCTTGCTGGCTATTTCCATGGTAATAAAAACAAACTGGTTCATACCTTCAATTTCTTTTCAAAGTTTTTTTGAAGGTCGTGTACAAATGCACTGTGTTTAGCGGCTGCCTCGTTGAGGACTTTTTCCACTGCATCTTCCTTGAGTGTTTCAGCCTTTAAAACAAGTTATTATTTAAGTATAACTGCTGACATTCTATTAACATCCTATTAAGAAGAAGCAGAGGTTACATAAACAATAGTTCTCTATTTGCTATTTAAGAAATCAGAGCAAGTTAAATTCAAAACCAGGTAGCAAAATCTATTGTAGCCCATTTGGCAATTTTATTGCAGTGATTCCTGTTCAAATGTGTCCTCACAATAGCACTGAGCTGACACAGCTGTAAGCACGATAAATATATCTAACATACATGTCAATCTTACATAGCACTGTGGGGAACAGCTTTAACAACCGGTAACTTCTGTGTGCTTTAGAGGCCATTTTCAGACCAGATGTAAAATCTGTTGCTAATTCAAAGTATGCTTTGCTGTGATCAGAAAAGAGAGAATTATGTGCACACAGAAATCTGTGAACAAAGGAGGAGCTGAAACTAATGACAGCTCTAAAGCAGTGACCCCAAAGTTCTTTATTAACTGTCTTTATACCGTAGCAATTATTCCAAAGTATAATTGTTATTAAAATGATGGGAGAATAATTTAATTTACCTGGGACCAAATTTCAGCTTTCATTTTTTCAATGCACTCTTGTACCTCTGCCTCCTTCTTTTCATGTTTTTCTTGTTCAACATGTGCTCCAATCTCTGCACAGTCAACACAAGCTGATCATGCACAGCAGACAACCACAGTGCAGAACTCCATGCCTCTCTCCCCACCCCTTTGCTTGGCTCCACACCTGAATTAAAAGTCAAAAGGCTAAAAAACATGCACCCTCATCTCACATGAGGGTGAAACCACAATTATTATTGCTTGTGCAGTTCTGTAAATACAATAGGAAGGTGCTAAACCCAACTCTCTCCTCCTAGACAAGGCTACAGGACAGGAGAGCATTGCAGATGTCCCTCCTGACTCCTTGTCCTGATGGCCATCTGCACAGCACAAGCTGGTCAGTCCTCAGCTTTCTTGGGAGTGATTCACCTATTTCTCTGTGATTGAATATTGCAACAGCTTAGGGGATAGCTTTGCTTCCTTTAGATGCCATAGTTGAGTCGGTGCCTTCTCAGGCTCCCTGTGTCCTCAGTCCTCCAAGGCTTTCAGAGAGGTCTATTGCCTGAGATGCCCTCAGATTCCTTTATGCCATTCTTGGGGCACACAGTAAATACCCTCAGGAAAATACAGAATATTCCAGGTTTTTGGAACAGACCAGGCACATACAAAGGAATGCTTCTGTCCCTACGGTTGCTGCATCTGGCTAGGGTCCAAGCAGCCCCAGCACTGCAGACACAGCTGATCCCTCCTAGAAAGGTGGGGCAAAGCACCATGGTGGTGAGCCACATTGCTTCACAGGGCCAACACCAGGGATGCTCCCCTTAGCAACATGAATGGAGTCTAAGTGAAGTGGAAGGGAAGTGGATAAAGATGCCTTTCTGCAATTCAAACATCTCATCCCCCCCAACAGTGGGATTTCAGAGCCTCCATCTTTCCTACTCAGTGCCAAGCCTGGGCATTGCTTTGGATCCCATTCTCTGTGCTTGACAGGGCCAAAGAGTCACATTTTTCTGGGTCATTATAAAGGAAAATTAAGAAGGAGTAGAGTCACAGGAGATCCAGCTTTCACACAGTCAGTGGAGGATTAAATTTCCCTCCCTCTTTCACTCCAGTCTTCCTCCCCACTCCACATGGGTGGGCAAAATCCTCCCACAGAGCTCACATGAAGTACATGGAAGGCAGCAGCAAGATGGGACAAAGGGGTCTACTGATGCAAATCAACAAAACAGAAGTCCAGCAGTGCAGAAAGCCTAGCAACAAGCATGTTGTGCTCTGATTGCACAGCTTTCCCCCAGTCCATTATATTAAGAAGTAAAAAGAAAATAATTTAAAGAGACTCTCTGGCCTTCTCGATGTGTTTCACATTGCGTGTGTGTAATGCAGGGCTGAAGCTTCATGTTCTGAGCACATGCGGGGCACTCATCCCGCTGCCCAGGCTCCCATTACACTGATAACCTCTTTATATCGTTTGAAATAGAAACCAAGCACATTGCTCTTCACAACGCACATTAATTAAAAGGCACAAGATGATTTTTACATAACTTTACTGATCAGAAACCTCTCTGACAATTAGGCATAGCATATAAAGATACTTCAGATTCTTACTAGATCCTCAAAAGTATGAATGCTACCACAATTTCCTTTATTATTGAGGTTATGATTGTGACATGCCAACAAAAACATCAAACCTCAAGAGAATCTACAGAGCCTCAATCTAAGGTCAGCAGCTGAATCAGGTATAAGAAGGTAGGATTCAGGATAAAATATCTCAACTGTGTCCTGTGCTGTGCTGCAGTCAAGGATAAGGTAATGACCTTTGCATATGTTAAGTCAAATGTAGTTCTTTCCAAACTACTTGAGGCTTAAAAAACATTTGCTAACAGTCTTAGAGCTCATTCTCTTTTGGACTCCACTATGCCCAAGTCTGAACAGCGTCATGCACCACAGGACAACTGACCCTGAATATACTAGACTTATTAAGATTCAGAAGGTAAGCACAGCTCATTGTTACGGAGACGTGAACACCTTAATGACTGTCAAGAACAGATGGATACAACAGCTCTTGGAGTTTTCCTAAATCTCAGATTGCAAGGAACAGATTTCAGCAGCAGACTCACCCAGTATATCATGATGAGTGTAATACCGTGTTATGAAAGGCTTATACTCCCGAATCCGATCAAAAGTAGCGTTGGAAGGTGGCGGTGGTACTATTTTTGAACATGTAGCACAACACACGAAGGAGTGCAGATCAGGATTTCTAATCATTGCGGCGTTCTGTTTTCCTGTAATACAGTTGCTACAATGTCAGAACTCTATTCCTGATACATCTCTTGCTTGCAGGCAAAACACTTAACTGTTGCTACAGAAAACATGCAAGCTGGTGAAGAAATTAAAATTACTTTTTACCGAGTTGGCTGAAACGTTTGCCTTCCGGTTAGGATTCATTCACACATGCTGACAGCTCGGTAACATGCTGCAGGCAGATGATGAGGGAGGGTTTCGTGAAGTAACCCCTTCCAGCCTGAATGCAGCTAGCTCCCTGCAGAGCAATGGTTACCAGGCAGGGCTGGCTTTGCTCACAAAGAACTAAGTTTCCCGGTAATAGTTGAGCAGAGTCACAGCAGGCTTTGCCTTTTCAGTGTCTTTTTTGTATTTGTTTCACTGTTGCTGAATGCCAACAATTCCTATTCAAACCATGTAAGCTAAGATTTTAGGAGCAGCATAATAGCTGGTGCTTCAGGTATTTGAATCAATAGAATCCTGTTGCTGTTCTTGGTAAAGATGAGAAAGCCAGCACATACAGTAAGGAATTAGCAAAATCCTGGCAGAGCCTGTGGCTGGGAAATCATTTTGACTCTCAGTTCCTGTCAAGCCACCTGTTATCCACTGTCGATAATTCTTACTATATTGAAGATGAAATTGAGAAAAGCTAAACAAAAGAAATTATATTGGCGCTGTCTCCAGGTGTATAAGGAGTTGTGCTTTCAGAGCTGAGCCAACAAATTTTGCTACCAATGGAGCTCTGTTTGGGTGGGTGTTTTCCCCTTTAATCCAATACACATAGTTTTTACAATATAAATCAGTTACTTACAACAGCAAATGCCAGTATTGATACTATAACACACATTAATTAATTATGTTCTTCTCTGTGTTTGCACTGCTTTATCTCCTTTTTATATGTAATTTTTGTAGCATTGAGTTACCTGTGAAGCACCTGCCACAAAAAATAGAGAATCTCCTCAATAATAGGGACAAATTTAAATACTGTTCCTTCAGCCTGTTCTAAATTAACCTGGTTAACAGGACTTGACTCCAGCCAGTAGCAACAAGGCCCCATCTTAGACAGCTTTTCTATGAAGTGCCATTGGCTCACACATTGCCTAGACCCTGCCCAGGTCAATCCCGGCCTTTATCTTTTACAACCCCCAACTTCCTTTTCCTCAGATCCTTCCAGATCCGTATTCTCTTCACAATTCAAAATTTTGAGAGCCATTACTCCCAAATATGTGAAAATAAAGGACTGGGTTTTCTCACTTCGAATCATCTGCAGGTATAAGGATCAAAGTGTGTATTTTAAAAGCCTGCAGAAAACCAGGTTAACATGCTTACTGCAGCACTGGGTTTGGAGTTGTTTTAGTTCATGCAAACACACCAGACTTCTGCATTTTAATGAAAAGAACTAAAATGCTGTGTGACCCTTTTGAAAAAAACAGATGGATTCTAGATATCCATCACATTCTATCAAACGAAACATATTCCACAGGATACGCACAGCATGTGGTATTTCTGAATATTTGATCAATTCTATGATTCACTTGGAAATTCCTTCACCAATCAAAAGGCAAGTGGTTTCTTCACCTGCAAGCTTTCAGACTTGCCCAGGACCTTGTTGCTGTGAGGCAGCTAGGCTCACAGAGGAGAATATGTTTTAAAAGGCTTTGTTTCTACAGCTTTTCAAATGTAGAAGTCAGTTCCCTCCCCAGGCAGGAAGTAACCAAACCAAGGCCCAGCTGAATTTAGGATACAGGTAAGTATAAAACAGAGACACAAGGAAAATCACAGGTTCAATGCGAAGGATTTATAGGGAGATAAAGAGAATAGAGCTCTCAAGGCAGTGTCACCTTTCTTATCTTCAGTAACAAAACCATTTGTAACATAACCCAGAGCAATTCCTAGAGTGGCAAACACATGTCACTGCATGTTCTTTCTTCTTTGGCCTGACAGAAGCCACTTTGGCCAAAACAGGATTAAGAAACAGGTCTCAGCTTCTTGGGAGCCCTTGATGGGGTTATAAATATGAGGTAGCTGAATGGAAAAATACAACCAAGAATGTTAATGAGGGTCCACGGTGGGAAAAGGGCACTTTTCCACAGCATTTGCCCTCCCACCACATGCTCTGGAGTTTGGTTAATGAGACACTATCTAGGACATATCAGGAACACAGAAGCAGTTGGAGCAGCTCGTAGAAAGCCTTAGTGGCAGAACAGGACAGCACCCACTTGTACAGTGTGCTCACAGGAACCCTCTCTTGTGCTAAGGCAACGCCACAGCCGCCAGGCTCACAGTGGCACCAACCATCCCACTGCCAATGGGCTGCCTCACATTCACACACAAGGCTGATTGGCAAGACTGGAATTGTTCAGGTGGATGCAGTCCTGTCATTGTGAGAACAGTCTTTTCACTGTTGATTTTAGACTTTCCATTCCCTATTTTGAGTTTAGTAGCCTGTAATAAATTAGTGTTATATAACGTACTCTGCAATACAGAGAAAATTTTTGAAAGCAGCTTGAATAAACTAGTCTTGATGACTAGTCAAGAACACTGCACAACCTCTGGCTAACCTGGAGTTATACATAGCGACTGGCAAGCTCATATTGGTAGGTTCACTGATCTGCTCTACTTTGCCAAACAGGAAAGGTCACAGCTGAGTTCTTCCTGCTTTTCTCTTGGCAGAAGCACTCCTTTCACTTTTTCTTCTCTACTTACCTACTAGGTTTTCTTCCGTTTGTAAGGAAGAATATATTATCATCCAAGGAATACTTTGGTCAGTATTTTACAAATTCCTTTATTAAATACAACCCTCCAATGACTATCAGATCTTTCTTGCTTTAAAATTATTTCACTTGCACTGTTACCTGTCAACTTTCAACAGATCAAGAGATCAACTTTTTCTTTTCACACACAATGCATTACACTTCTGTTTAAAAATTAAGACAAACCCCTGTTTTCACTCAATCAAAGCAAAGAGCTAATAAGCTGAACTATCATGTGCATTTCTAAGGCATTTATTAGTCTTGACTGCATGTCCGAGGTAACTTCATGTCTTCTGACAGGCCGTGGAGTTTGCAGACAACAATTCTTAAAAGTCACTTTTATGTTCACATGTATCTCAATTGCAATTCATTTGTACAGGTATGGCATTTTACAAAGGAACTTAAACTGGACTGAACAGCAAGAGAGACATTTATCCATTATTTCAAGGGAGAGAGAAAAAAAAAAATAGTAGTTGCCTGGCAAAGTTCTGTTATTGATTTGCTGATTTCCTTCCTTACGTCCTCAGTCCCACTTAGAAGTCTTCCTCCTCAGATAGCTGGACCCCTCACTGTCAATTGCTTCATAGAGGTCCTTTTTATTCTCTATTGTTGCATGCAAATAACCAAGGTAGGCCACACAGAGGGTAATTGCTATGAGCCCAAATGCCATCACAGGCTTGTTCTGACAAGAAAAAAAAAAATTAGTATCTGTCTTTAGTCAAAACATTTCTTTGTTCAACACAAACATTCTTCTGTCTTGGCTAAGAAAGTGAACAGTAAACAGCTGTGATATCTGCAAGAACTATCAGTGCTTTCTAGCAGACCCATCCAAATGATTTTGATAACCAGCAAGAAGGGAGACTCAATTTTCTGACAGCAAAAGGAATTCCCTTTGAAAAAGAAGCCTCCCTGGAGACAGAACATGGCATTGTCCAGTGCTGTGTCTTTTGCTGGTCCCAAATGCTGCTTCAGCATGAATGAACAGGCCAAAACCTATCACTAAAGGTAACTAAATGCAAGCTTCTAACAGAATTCATCTGAACATGCTACTGAGACAAATAACTTGGTTTATTGGAAGGTGTCCCTGCCCATGGCAGGAGGGTTGGAACCGGGTGATCCTTAAGATCCCTTCCAAACCAAACCAGTCTGTGATTCTGTGTAAAAACACAGAATGTATTATCACAGAATGTGCTTCTATTACATGCATAAAATTTCATCCAGTCTTGCTGGGTTGCGCAAGTGCAAATAAAACCTGAGTATCCTCAACTTAATTATAAAAGCAACAAAAATAAAAAATATTGAAAAGGTACCAAAAATCCCCCCCCCCCCTGCACTTTTTGTTCTGTTCCCTTTTAAACATTACAGAGCACTCCTATTACTTAACCTGTCAAATTACATGGGTAATACGTCTTTCTGTTAGTAACTTGGCTAGGTATAAAAGGATTAGACAATATAACAGTGAAATAAAAGCTGGAATAAACAATGTAGTGTTCTGGGCTCATAACAATCAGAGTGAAATAAAGTAAAAATATTTTTAGCTACATTACTGAGTGCTTTGCATAACAACAGACTGTTATATAATGCACACAGAATAGCAATGACAACTTTACAGCAACCGTGTCTCTCCAAGCCTGTTTACTTTCCCTCAGAATGAGCCTCTTACAGGTTTAATGAAAAGCTCTGGGTTCACAGCTCGGAAGAGCATAGTTGTTTGAACAGTTCTCAATCCTGGTTTTCTGGGTGTTTCGCTTGCATTTGGAGACTTGGTGGAAGACATTTTAATTGATGTTGAATACTTCCTAAAAACAGAGTAAAAAGTATATGTCATTATAAAAAAAACCCAAAGCACATTCACCAAGTTCGAACTCAGGATGTGTTGTTCTTACAGCATGAATTTTACTTTGTATATATGTATTAATGACTGCCTTTGGTGTTATTAATATTCCCAGCTTAAGCACACTGACTTTCAATCCTGATAACGGGAGTTTTTGCTTGCCTTTGCCTAATGCTTTAGTTACCCACAGATCATGTAGCACTGGCTAAAAAAGACAAAGCCAGCAAACCTCCTTTAAACTTTACATATGACATGACAGCCGACACCCCCCTGTAGTGCAGTCACTCCACCCAACCCCCCCCCCCAGCAGCTCTAGGGCTCAGGTTTCACTTTTACACGCAGGGTCCTCTGCAAGATGCCACCTGAGCGAAGGTGAACAAAACACACCCCTGGCTAACCCCGCTTACCGAGGGGTAAAGAAGAAGCGGTGCTAAGGCCCCCTGCCCCATAGCTCACACAAGCAGAGCACAGCCGGGGACCCACGGGCAGGATTCACAAACTCAACTCAGCAAGGCCCCGGCCACTGCAGGGAGGTCAGGGCAGCGAGGAGGTCGGCTAAACGCGACCACACGGGCACAGGGCACTGTCAGGCACACCGCCAGCACACACGCGAACCCCAGCTGCCCAGCAGCTCAGCCGGGCTCCGACCAGCACAAACAGCGAGGATAAGGACAGAAACCTCCTCCAGGGCGGTCAGGGGGCTTTACGCCGCGGACGAAGGGGCGAATTTCTCAGAAGAAAACCCCGGCTGGGCCGCCGGGGACACAAACAGAAGACCAGGCCACCGCCATGCTCCGCTCAGCCCCTCAGGAGGCGGAGGGTGACGGAGGTCTCCCCGCGGACAGCGGGCCCGGTCCCACACATCCCCTCACACCTCTCCCGCACCACGACTTACCCCTGCCGCAACCGAGGCCTCCCGTAGGCCTGGGGAACGGCTTAGCGCCCTGCGCCTGCGCGCTTGTGCCTCCCCTCTGCGTTCCGCCCCGCCCCGCCCCGCCCTGCCTGTCCCCTCAGGCAACTGACCGGGGCGGAGGCGGGTGGAGCGCGTCCTCCTCGGTCTGCCCCGTCGAGAAACGCTCCAGAGTAAACCCGGCGTCGGGGCTCGGTCGGAAGAATTGTAGAATCACAGAATCACCTAGGTTGGAAAAGATCTTTAAGATCATCAAGTCCAACCATTACCTCAGGACTGCCGAGACCAACACTAAACCATGTCACTGAGGGCCTCATCTACACGGTTTGTGGACACTTCCGAGGACGGTGATTCCAGCACTGCCCTGGGCAGCCTGTTCCAATGCCTGACCACCCTCTCTGTGAAGACGTTTTTCCTGGTATCCAATCTAAACCACCCCTGGTGCAGCTTGAGGCTGTTATATCTTGTCTTATCGCTTGTTACATGGGAGAAGAGACTGACCCCCACCTCCCTAACAGCTTTCTTTCAGGTAATTGTAGAGAGTGAAAAGGTGTCTCAGCCTCCTATTCTCCAAGCTCAGGCATCTGGAAACTCATGGTTATGTAAATGACACTTTGCGTCTGTGTTTTGTTTTGTATTGATTCTAATGAGTAAAATCAATTACCTGGACTCCAGAGGAAACAAAGCCCATGCAATAGCATCTGCCTGCTCCTGTCTGCCTGTCTGCCGACTTCGATGCCATCAGGCAATTCCAGATGCCTTAGAAAGAAGAGTATAAATTTAAATCTTTGGAAAATCCAGTACCTCGAGGGTAGGGAGAGACCCAGAGCAGTGCTCCTCTAGATAACGGGCAGAACCGAGATGTGTTGGACAGTTGTCACAGCAATTCAGCTGCAGCCGGCTGGTGGATTTGTACGTATGTAGTTCTGGACTCACCAACTGCGGCTCATGCTTCTTCGTATCTGGATGGTGTGTGAAGGGACTTTGGTGGAGCATCTGATTATTGCAGCCGTGGAGGCAGCGGGGGACAAGCATAAATGTAGAGGTATTTTCTGTGTGTAAATATCGCGAGGTGAGAAAAATAGGGAAGTTTTAGTGTCAAGAGAGGACTGAGTGGTATGCCTGGGGTTTGTGTCAACGTTTAATTCACAATATACCATCTGTTAATCTGGTAGCTATTGTTTTGGCAGCATATGCCATGCAGCTGATTTTGTTTGGAAACCTTCGAGAAGAAAGTCTGAGTGAAGGTTGCTGCTCTGGTTTGTTTTCATGTTTGTGTAATTGAAAGAAGGCAAGACAAGGCTTTTGCCTGAGCTTTGTTTTTTGGTAAGGTAGCTTAGTTTTCTTGAGGGAACTGTGAGTTTTTGCAGTACTGTAGATGTTCTGCATACAGTTCCTAAGTAATTGACATATTGTATATAGGAGTACAAAACATTTTCATGACTACACTGAGAAGTGCACTCACTTAACAGCACATGCACCTCCTTTCCAGCAGCTGTCATTAACTGACCCCATCCATGTAGCTAAAATTTCTGACCCAAAGTCAGCCATGGTCATGGTGCTATTTTCCAGGTCATGGTAGGATGAGTTTTATGCCAGAACACATTTGCCTGATAGTGAATATTGTCAGGTTTTATGCCAGAACACATTTGCCTGATAGTGGATATTGTCAGGTTGCTGCTAGTTCTCTAGCATCTTTCTTATGCTCCAGGCATCATTGATGGGGGAAGAAATCACACACATACAAAGAACACCACTGTCTGGAGAAAAAAATGTTCACCATATGAAGAGTTGTGGGATAAGGCTTTATGCATAGAAAAAGGAGCAGAGAGGGATGTAGAAGCAGGGTTGGATTTGAATGTGAATGCTGGTACTTGGTATACGTTGAGCAGGTTCCGGCTAACCATATAACTTCCAAGAAAAGCTTGGACTGCTTGGTGTTTCTAGTTGTGCTTTATGACTGTGGGAAAGTGTCTTATTTTATCTTTAATGTGAATATTATGTTGCTGTCATCTGACCCAACAGGATGTTGAAATCCTCAATCTGTCAAGGCTTATAAAGTAGTCAGGCGTCTTTTTACAGAAGAAACTCTATAAAAGGGTAGAATTGTAAACATGTGTGGTATCTCTGAGTCACCTGTCCTCTTAATATCTGAGTACCTCTCCTGAAAAGTAACCATGCAAAAAAAAGCCCTCCTTTTACAAACCTGAGGTTGTTACTGAGATTTGTTTTCCTTTTAAAGAAATTCATTTGGGATTCTGCATTTGGTATTGTGCTGTATGCATTCATGGTGAGACAAGGAGGCACAAAAGTACAAAATGTAATCAGTTCTAAGTAATGTTAAGTTTGATGGCTTTGTAATGGAAAATAACTGCGGTGCTTGGAGGTAGTTGACATAGTTTCAGGCCCTCAGGGCCTCAGTACAAAAGGTGTGAGAAAAGCAGAATAGAAGGACCGGACCTGGGATGGGGACTAGCAGATGTCCAGGGTGAGAGCAGTTAAACTAACTGATAAGTAGGCGGCCAGGATGATTGCTATGTCTGTAATTTTAATTAAGCTTGTTGGGAAAAGTAAACGACCCTTAAAGACCACCACATTTTTGTATGCATGCCGGAAACTTTTTGGAAAATGATGTAATATGCTCAGTAACCATATAAGGATGACCTGTATAGCAATACGGGGACACACGTTACGAGGAGTTATCCCCCGTGTCTCCCGGCGCCGCAACAAAGAATACTTGCTTGTCAACTTGAAACTCTGCTGGCGAGTTTGTTCCTGGAGTTTTCTCCAAATCAATGGCCATTCAGAACTTCTTAGTAGTTTCTGCTTCTTTTGATGCTCACATCCCCTTATTGTTTGAGCTGCGGAAGAGCCTCCACTGGCGATCGAGGAAGCCTGGTGGTGTGTTCCACAGGTGTCTTTAGCATGTGATAGCCTGATGCAGTTTAGGAGCAGCAGTGTGCCTCTGCATCTAGCCAATTCACCTCACAGCTCCTCCTTATCTCAAATACTGCACAAGAGCAGAGCTTCCCATTGTTTTCAAAATACACGTAGAATGCCTCAAGCTACCGGTAAGCATATCCCTATGTTAGAGAGACAGTTACAGAGCTGTTGGGAACAGAAAAAATAGGCTTTGCATCAACACTGGGACTTCAGCACTGCTTTGACATGTAGTGAGAGGGGCAGTTTCCATCATGTGGTTGTTAGGGTTTTCATACATGAATCACAGAGTCACAGAATGGGTTTGGTTGGAAGAGACATTAAAGCTCATCTAGTTCCAACCCATCTGCCATGGCCAGGGACACCACACACTAGACCAGGTTGCTCAAAGCCCTGTCCAGCCTGGGCTTGAACACTGCCAGGGATGGGGCAGCCACAACTTCTCTGGTCAACCCATGCCAACGTCTCACCAGCCTCACAATAAAGAACGTCTTCACAGTATCTAGTTTAAATCCACCCCCTGTCAGTTTAAAGCCCTTTGTCCTATCACTACATGCCCTTGTACACTGTGAATTTCATGACATTTTAATAAATTTGACAGTTGGGAATTTTTTGTCCTGAACAAGTCTCGGGGAAAAGGGAAAGCAAAAATTGGAAAGTACTTCCTGCACCTTACTCATAGCTAATGGGGAGAGCACTGAGGCATGTGAAACAGTACTGCCATATTTAGGACATAATTGCAGGAGAAGAAACAAACATCTCCAGCTAGACTAGAGGTGGCCTTTGAGAGCTTTCGGTGTGGTTGTTGCTCAGCTCAAGTCAGTCTCAAGAGCCCTTTACTATGCTTTGCAGCTGCTGTTGCTCATTTGTATCGTCCCCATTGAAAGGAAGCAGAGCTTTCAGACAAGTAGCATGTAGTGGCTGGGATCCTATCCCTGACAGTTTTAAGGCAATTATCGTTTTAAAAATGAAAATCTGTTAGAGTGAATCTTCTGTGTTTTGTAACATTGTGTGTATGTCTTCTATAGCACTTGTTAGCCCCCTGTGCCAGTGAGAGATAAACAAATCACCCAGCCATGCCTTCCAGCAAAGATTAGAGCAATTGTTGTTCTTCAAATACTGATAAAGCTTACAAATCTTTTTTAACTGA